TCACAGGTGAAGTAAGGCATCTGGTGAAAAAATAAAGCAGTTCTTAGTGTTCATAAACAATAAGAGGCTCTAAACACGCTATTGTCAATTCAGGAGAAAGCTCCTGGAGTCACTCTTTGAAAATATGAGCACAGGTGTCAGCAGTCTTAAATGCAAATAGATGTAGACAATTAGTTAGCAAAGACTAAATTATAAACCAGAAAAGTCACATTTTAATTATACTCATGCCCCTTGAGCTCATTTCTTAAAACTTGTGCAGATCTGCATGCAGCAGGTGATCAGGAATGGTGAAGAGAATAGTGGTCAACAATGATCATATGTTTGTATGATATGGCATCTGCAAAAAGGGAAGTTGAAAAAGAGACAGCTATCAGAGGCTTGCAGAAATGGAGGGTTATGGAGAAAATACACAGAAACATTTGCTTTCCATTTTGTAGAAGATAAGCAGGTTTAGATCAAAAAGTATTTTTTTCTCAAAAATGATTTTTTTCTCAAAAATTATGCAGAGGAACTAATTGTTGCAGGCTTGTACAGAAGCCAGAAGTGTGAATAAGCTTCAGGTGAGACTCAAAAATCCAGGAATAATAATAAGTGTGCTGGTGAACAGCCTCTAACCCCAAAAAAACCCCTCTGCTGAACAGTCTGTCGGTCAATGAGAGGGCACACTATGAAAACTCCCCCTAATTTCACCTGCTTATCATGAGCTTTACCATTACTCTATCACAGAAATTACAAGGTAGGACCTTCTTTAATATAATTATGCTTGGGTTGGTGCATTCAAGTTTAGTGTGGAAAGCCCCACATTTGAATCCTCTCCTCAGCTTTCAACCCAGACCTTTTTTTCCTTCCTGCAGAGTGCTACGTATCTGCTGACCCATCCTCTTCCCTGAGTGCATCTGCCCATTGTGTTGGCTCATGTCTCAAGTCTGTGCAGAACCCTGGACTCTCTGATCAACAGTGCCAGTGTTAAACTCATTTTCTGACTCTCCACTGGCTCTCCAGGCAGAGCAAATTCAGGAATCTAGGAACAGGAAAGCAGGTGGGAGATGATCCTGTCTAGTGGTTAGCACATGCATTTGAAACACCTATTGCTAGTTCTGCCCCATGTATACACAGGAATAGATACAGTTTTATTTTCCTATGATACACACTCATATAATATAAACCTAAGATACATTTCTGTTATACATTATTTCTTAAGTACATGTCTAATGAGAACAGTAATAAACCTGAGGGAGGACAAGAGTGGGAAATTCTGTTTGAATATCCTGTAGACCTTTTCTGCATCAAAAGGAGGTGGTTCAGCTTTGGATTCTCATTACAGATTATGTAAAATGTCAGTAAAACTAAAATAGACCCTAACCAGCCACACTGCGAGGCAGATTTTCAGCCTTATTTCCTTCTCCCACACTGACCTGACTCAAACTTCAAAGGCCTCCATAAAGCAAGAAGAAGGGAATCACTCAGCTGGTCAGAGTCAAGTTTTAGGCTACCACATTAATGCAGTTCATTGCCCAAAGACCTTGGGGTGTTCTAGAAGATCCTAGAAGGTAGGATGTCTGCCAGGATGTGGCAGAGGTTTGGAATAAGACATGCAAATGAAGATTAATACCTGCAAGTTGCTGTCTAAGCTCCAGGTGTAGTTTATGAGGTTCTAGCTGGCAGAGTTAGTGAAGTCTTTACACTGATTCAGCTGACCAGATTTAGGTGTCTTAACCTGCAAACTGTCTCCCATCCTGGCTTCCTGTGACAGTGAAAATCTACATTTCTGAAGGGAATATATATCTTTCTCACATTAGATTTACAGTAAGATTCTCAAGAATCTGGATTTTGTTTTGTAGACCCTAAAAGATGCCAATGGTGGGTCATTTATAGATTTAATGCTCTCTGTCCTCTCTGTCTCTCTGTAATTCCCGTTTTAAGAAGGTGAAAAGGTTACTTCCTTTTTTCTATAGGATATGGCAAAGATAAATACAGCAAAAGTTTTTCAGCTTTCACATACTGTAGTTCACCACAAAATAATTTAACTAGATATATGCTAAGTAAATAGAGTGTATAGCAGTTCTCATTTACAAAGATAAGAAAAAGATTTTTTTTGTTCTAAATTTTTTTTATGTATGGCCCAGAATTTCACTGCCCTATCTCCATACTTACGGTGAAAGTGTGAGAAAGAAATATGTGTTTAAAGACTTCAGTATCTCTTATTTGGTTAATGTCCTACAAGTATTTAAATGAGTCATTTGATGGCCCTGCACTTCATGATTGGTTAAGCTATTTAACATACTTTATTGCTTCTGTGATTTATTGCCTGGTGAGGACACTCAAGAAAGTCTGAGAACCTCTTTGGGGTTTATTGAGCTGGTACATATTTTATGCTGATTTCAAATAAATCAATGTCTATTATAGCATAAAAAATGGGAACATTGGAAAGAACGTTGAAGAGAACTATTTCCGGAGCTTTGTGTTCTGCTTCATGCATAAAGCATGAGGGCTTCATTAGCATGGAAGTATGTGCATGTGAACCTTTGGGTCCTTATTAATCATTTTATGACTAATACATGAAGCTCAATGATTCCCATAAGCTTCCCTAAAAGAAACCATAACGTACACACTGTGTGAGATGGTTCCCCAAAGGAGTGTGTAACTGTAATGTCTCAGACACCGCGTGCAGGAATCTCTTGATAGATGCGCTGTTCAACGTGTCCTTCCCTGCCCTACTCATTGCTTTTCAAACAAGACCATCTAGAAATAAAGCAGAGCATCACTAGTCCTTGTTTTGTTCAGCTGGCACCTTGGTCATTCACAGCCCTCAGTTCTGTCATTTATTAAATGAGAGCAGGGCTGAATCATAAAAAATCCCCAACCATGTAAGTTTATTGACCAAGTGACATAAGTGCTCGTTTGGATGGAGTTGAGGTTTCAGGATGATTGAATCATCACTCTCTTGGCAGTTATCTGTGGGCTGTGAGGTCTTCTTTATGCACCATCCTGAGGCTGGAGAAAAACAAGACTCCTTGAGTCTCTATGCTGTGCTAAATGAGAATAGTGGGATAAACCAGAAAATTGGTCCCCCAATGTTTCCTGGGGTGGTAATTCCCAGTAGAGGACTAGAAGGACAATGTCAAAGTAGTGCTGAATGGTAGTTCTTTCAATAAGTTTTTATGCACTCTTGAAGCCTTGTGCCCCCTGCAAATTTAATATATCTACTCTCTGCTTCATGGACTGACCCCTGTGAAAACTTCTTGACAAGTTGTATCTTCTGATTTTGGCAGATTTCTACCTACTCAATGAATATAATAATTTGGTCAGTTTTTCATCTAAAGTAATTTCACCTGAACTGTGTATCTTTAGTTTGCTTATGAGAACGGCAAGTGAAAAAGCATCAATTGTGAAACCCTTCAACTTTCCACAAACAGAAAAACCTGTTTTCCTCTTTTCAAAGAATACTAGATTGGTTTATTCTTGGCAAATTCTTACTGGCTGCTACTCATGTCCTTAGTATTTTCCAGGTGTAATATTTTGTTCATTTGTTCATTCCAGATTTTTTCTGGGGCTAAAATATAAATTTACTGGCCTATGGTTCCTTGGCTTCTTTTTCTGCCTCTTTTTATAATGGACACTATTTCCAGTTCCAGTTTTTCACCTTTTCGCCAAGGCTTGTCAAAGATAATTGCTAACACTTGTAAGTCTGCTTTGGCCTGTTCCAGGCTGTGTCTGTTTGTGTGAGCATTGTGCTGCAAGGGCAGCGGATCAGTCCTAAGAAACATTTACTCTCAGTGACCACACTCTGCTTATTTGCTTTTTCCCTCAGACTGGCTCTAGTTTGGTCCCAGGGACTTCATGCCTGTTAGCAGCTACCAATTAACACTCCCAAAGTGTGTCTTCCTGTTTAGTTTCATTCTGAGGTCTAAGCCTGTCTGTAAAGAAAACCAGAGCACATTAAACAGAGCTGATTAGGAGATCTTCTATAAAAGTGCATTCCCCAGCCAAACTCAAGGGATGTGGAGCTGCACTCTCAGCACCCTAGACCAGAGTTCATCAGTCTCAACCAATCTGAGAGCAAATAAATCATGGAACTATTCATTGTTCATGATGTTGATCATTTTAGGCCTTTAAATGAAAACTTATTGAAAAAGGTGTTAAATGTATCCTTGTGTCAGCTTCATCTGACAATAGTTCTTCCTCTGTTGGTAATAGGCCAGCTCTCCTTGGTTCTCTTCTTACTGCTGATGAATCTGTAGAATGATTTCTTCATACACTGTATGTTTATTGAAACTTTAATCCTATTTTGTGTTTTGGCTTCTCTGAGTTTATTCCCTCATGTGTTTCTGCTCTTTCCATACACTCATCCAGGTAATTTGCCCCCTGTGTTCACTCCCACTTCTTGTGCTTGAGATTCCAAGGGTTCATGCTTTAGCCAAGCAGCCTCCTGTGCTTCCTGGTTTTGCCTTGCACAGGTTAAGAGATAATATCAGAACATAAGACTGGACACAACGACCCCTTAAAATATCCTGAGAGGACAGGCTGAGAGAGCTGGGGTTGGTTAGCCTGGAGCAGGGAGACCTTTTTGTGACCTTGCAGTACTTGAAGCAGGCTTTTTAGAAAGTTGGGGACAAACTTTTCATCAGGGCTTGTTGTGACAGGACAAAGGGTAATGATTTTACTCTGAAGGAAAGTCGATCTAGATTAGGTATAAGGAAGAAATTTTTTTAGAGAGATTTAGAAAACACTGTCATAGTGTCGGAGTTGGTGGATGCCCCATCCCTGGAAACATTCAAGGTCAGGTTGGAAAGGGCTCAGAGCAATCTGATCCAGTGGAAGGTGAACCCCTCATGGCAGGGATATTGGAGTAGGTGACCTTTAAGGATCCCTTTCAATCCAAACCATTCTATGATTCATGATTCTGTGATCCTTCCAGTCCTTTATTTACATAATGATATGACGTTTTCCTTTGTGATGCCATAGCAATAGCTTATTAATATTGCTGGAACATTGCTCCTTGGAGAACCACAATCTGTTCCAGTGAGACTGTTGCTTCCATGCATAAGAAAGGAAGAACATGACCTTTGTCAGACCTGAAACCAAAGACTGTCCAGGATTTTCAGGTCATTTAGGAAGAAGGTAGGATGGCATATACAGCCACAAAGCTGTGTTTGCAAAACAGCACTTCATAGCAAGTCGTGAATAGACATGAGTGAAATTTAGCAACTGGTCTGGCTGATGATTCAAATTTCTATGAGTCAACAGACTGGCTTTTAACCAGAGGCAGTCATGTCTAGCATCCTGCAGGAGTTGAAAACCTACTGTAGCCTTGTAAGTATCCAAAATGTTATGCAAAAGCAGTGACTTTTTTTGTGGTGCTCTCTGTGTTTGGTTTCTTCTCTTTTCTTTTTCTTTTTTTCTTTTTTTTTTTTTTGCACAGAAGTTGTTCTGAGGACACAAAGTCCTCATCCAGAATCAGAAGTCATGGCTTGCATTACAAGAGTACAGGAGAACTGGCAAGAAACACAGAGCCCATGAGAACAAACTAGCAGCACAATGGATTTGTAATATTTAATCAAATTCTTGATGATCACAAATCTTGCAACACATTCCAAAACTACTAAAAACGCTATACAGAAACCAGCTGAGCCAATATTTAAAGCCTTTTTAATTTAACAGAACCCATTTTTTATAGTATCCAGGATATGTTTCTGGCTTTCCTACTTGTCACATGATCTCCTGTCCAGATGTGCTGGTGTATATCTAGTAGTGGACCAGCCAAACCACAGCTCTTTCCTCCTGCTTGTAGCGTGTTACTGTAATTCAACCATACTTCTCCCAGCTACAGAAGCACTACATTAATATGTGGTATAACAACAATAACACAGGAGGGGATAAAGCTAACCATAACTTTAACTACGTATCTAAAAATAATAATAATAATGGAGTGACCCTATTCAAAGAGGTTAATTTGTGTGCAGGGTATAAAATCCAAATATGCAATTGTTTTGCAAACTTCACATTTTTCTCACCTGTGACAGAAGATTTGTGCTGAGGAGAAGATTTCCTGCAGTTTTCTACAGGAAATTAGCCTCCCCCTTTGTTTAGATCCCACAGATTGTGAAGTGTGCTCATGGGCAGCCAGCTCAGGTCTCCTGCATTTTTTGCTGCCTTTTTTTTCTCAGTGGTGGCTGCCACACAGAATAGAAGGAGAAGGGAATTCCAGGCTTGTGGGTTAATTATTAACATGGTTAAGCCTGGCAGCATGCTCAGAATTAGAAAGGAAAAGCCTGAGGGCTGATTCTTCCCTCCCATTCACAGGATAACCCCACTGGGCTGACTTCGACCTCCCAAGGCAAGGGCCATATCCACACTCCCCCATGGAAAGTTAGTGGGATTCTTATGAATGGCTCCATTAGGAGCTGGGTGGGCTGAATGCCAAAGAAATCAGTGGAGTTGCTTCTGATTTACACGGGGATAAGCATGTGGGTGTATTAAATCCGTAATCCTCGTCCCCACCGCAGTCAGAACTCAGCAGCTGGGTCGTGCAAAGTGTCACAGAGAGCCCTCAGGTGCCACAGAGCACTGAGGGCCCCATCCCTGTCAAAGTCTTGAGGGTGCTGATTCAGGGGCATATCAGGCATCTCAGGAGATGATGAAAAGTGGGCTCAGCCAACTCAGTCCTAAACAGTGATTTCAGCTCATGTGCTTGTTCAGTCCCCACCACTCCAGAACCGCAGGACTTCATCTTGTAGATCATTGCTGTACCTTTGGAAGGTGGAGTTATTTTAAAGAAAATGAGGTCCAGGCTCTTCCTGCCTTGCTTGGCACGTGCAGCTTAGGTGGCAAATGACTCTAAGTGAACCAGACATGACCTGCAGTCAGCACAGAAAGGAGGCCACCAAGACCTCACTGCCTTCTGAAGGTGACCTAGAGCTACTATGCTAATTTATGTCCCTTAATTTAGATGGCCTGGCTCTAGCCCAGAAACACAGTGGGCATATTTTAAGGGTAGTGAAGCATTTCTTGAGGAAGATTTAAGCACTAATTCCTGCTGAAAACTGAGGAAATGATGAGTCAAACCCATTTGGGTGATGTTTCAAAGCCCAGTGATCATTTCCTCACTTTTGTAGAACTGCCTGCCTGTACTCTGACTCTGTCATGGAAATGTCTGTGGCATACTGGGAGTCTGAACAGAGCTCCCTGGACATCATTCTCACCAGTGACCTGTCCTTGCATGATCACAAAAGACAACCAGTGGCTCCCTCTCCTCTCCTCTCCTCTCCTCTCCTCTCCTCTCCTCTCCTCTCCTCTCCTCTCCTCTCCTCTCCTCTCCTCTCCTCTCCTCTCCTCTCCTCTCCTCTCCTCTCCTCTCCTCTCCTCTCCTCTCCTCTCCTCTCCTCTCCTCTCCTCTCCTCTCCTCTCCTCTCCTCTCCTCTCCTCTCCTCTCCTCTCCTCTCCTCTCCTCTCCTCTCCTCTCCTCTCCTCTCCTCTCCTCTCCTCTCCTCTCCTCTCCTCTCCTCTCCTCTCCTCTCCTCTCCTCTCCTCTCCTCTCCTCTCCTCTCCTCTCCTCTCCTCTCCTCTCCTCTCCTCTCCTCTCCTCTCCTCTCCTCTCCTCTCCTCTCCTCTCCTCTCCTCTCCTCTCCTCTCCTCTCCTCTCCTCTCCTCTCCTCTCCTCTCCTCTCCTCTCCTCTCCTCTCCTCTCCTCTCCTCTCCTCTCCTCTCCTCTCCTCTCCTCTCCTCTCCTCTCCTCTCCTCTCCTCTCCTCTCCTCTCCTCTCCTCTCCTCTCCTCTCCTCTCCTCTCCTCTCCTCTCCTCTCCTCTCCTCTCCTCTCCTCTCCTCTCCTCTCCTCTCCTCTCCTCTCCTCTCCTCTCCTCTCCTCTCCTCTCCTCTCCTCTCCTCTCCTCTCCTCTCCTCTCCTCTCCTCTCCTCTCCTCTCCTCTCCTCTCCTCTCCTCTCCTCTCCTCTCCTCTCCTCTCCTCTCCTCTCCTCTCCTCTCCTCTCCTCTCCTCTCCTCTCCTCTCCTCTCCTCTCCTCTCCTCTCCTCTCCTCTCCTCTCCTCTCCTCTCCTCTCCTCTCCTCTCCTCTCCTCTCCTCTCCTCTCCTCTCCTCTCCTCTCCTCTCCTCTCCTCTCCTCTCCTCTCCTCTCCTCTCCTCTCCTCTCCTCTCCTCTCCTCTCCTCTCCTCTCCTCTCCTCTCCTCTCCTCTCCTCTCCTCTCCTCTCCTCTCCTCTCCTCTCCTCTCCTCTCCTCTCCTCTCCTCTCCTCTCCTCTCCTCTCCTCTCCTCTCCTCTCCTCTCCTCTCCTCTCCTCTCCTCTCCTCTCCTCTCCTCTCCTCTCCCTCTCCATCTGATATCCTAGTTCTTGATTACCAATAAGTTCCTGGCTGAGCACTAACAAGAAAAGATTTATTTCTCTGTTTTCCTGTGAGGAGGATGATTCTTAACATGAAGTTTTTTTCTAAAGGAGGAAAAAAAGAAAAGAAAATAAGACAACAACTAGATAAAACAACAACTAGGTTTCTTGTTTGTTTGGGTTTTGTTTGTTTGTTTTTGTGAAGTGACTGAAATTTAGACACCTCCTGGTTCCCATTTACTCCCTTAATAAAACAATTTTTAAGAGTCTTTCACTCACCACACAGCATTAAAGTTCAAGAAGGAAGGGGATTGACTGCTTTTATTGTTTTCTAGTGTGGCCAGGCAGTTAGTGCTGAGAGGGTGTGTGTGTAAATATACATTATAATCACATTACAAATCACTGCCAAGCAGAGCAAATGCAGACTAAAGGATGTCTGCAATCAGAAAAGAGATTGCAGAGTGGGTTCCTGCAGCCCCAGAGTCAATGGGGAGGTACCTTCTAAATTGAATTTTTAATATGTTTTATGGAAAGGTGACACCTTTAAGGTCAGTGCATCCCTGGCACTGTGCCAGCACAGTGATCCCTACCTAGCTGGTAAATTCATAGAGGCACAGAGTATGCTGAGTTGGAAGGGACCCATCAGGGTCATTGAGTCCAACTCCTTGTCCCACACAGGACACCTCAAGAGTCACATCATGTGCCTGAGAGAATTGTCCAAGTATTTCTAGAACTCTTTCAGGGCTGGTGCCATGACCCTGGGGAACCTGTTCCAGTGCTCAGCCACCCTCCAGGTGAAGAACCTCCTCCTAATATCCAACCTAAACCTCTCCTGACTCAGCACCAGCCTTTTCCTCAAGTGCTGTGATTGGTCATCAGAGTGGAGACATCAGTGCCTGTCCCTCCACTGCCCTTTGTGAGGATGTCGAAGACCCCAGTGATGTCCACCCACCTCTTCTCCAGACTGTACAAACCAACTGACCTCAGCTTCTCCTCATCCTGCTTCCCCACCAGAGCCTTCACCATCCTTGTGGCCTCTTTTGAATGTTTAAGCTGTATTGATAAAGAAACCATTATTGTTGCAAATATTACGGAATGAACATTACCCTGGGAATGTAAACTGAGGCAAATTTTCCTTGTACATTGCCTAATAAGAATTTAAATTCCTAAAACAGACTCATGAAGTTGATGCCATCTGTGGAGGAGAGTCATAGAATGTTTGAGTTGGAAGGGATCTTAAAGATCATTTTGTTCCAACCCTGTGCCTTGGGCAGGGACACCTTCCACTAGACCAGGTTTGGACACTTGGACACTTCCAGAGAAAGTGGCACAATTATCTGGAAATGGCCAGGATGCCAGTACCTGGCATCATGAGGGAACACTAAGCTCTCCCAGCATTTCATCTTGGTTTCCCCTTGGTTTCACCCACTTCAGCAAACATGAGATAATGCATCAGATGTTGCCAGTAAATTATATTTGCACAAGGAAAAACCCAGCAATGCACTGTACCGACTCCACTGTTTGCTCAGCTCTAGATGGCAGAGAGTTATACAAAAACAAACACACACACCCAAAAGCACATCAATATCTGTCTTGTTATCACATTTACATGCTTTTGAAGAAAGTTTATAATGCAAAAAGATGTTTCCTACCCTACCTTTCTTTTCAGACAGAATGTTTTTTTTAATGATTGGAGTTACAGGGTTATTAATGAATATTTAACATTTTAAACACAATTTGTAAGTTTTTACCTCAGTTCTCAGTGCTAAAATCACTCTTGTCTCTGTGCCTAGCCATTTTATCCTAGATTTCTTTACATGGAATCATGATGCCAATAATCAGTGCATAATACCCATGGAAGCACATGTCTCTGCTCTATCTAGGCTTCCTGAAGCCTGTTTTAATATCTCAGATCATCTGAACCATCTGTATTCTCAGTTGTTTCATGTAAAAGGCAGCTGAAATGGACATATGGGCAGTTCAGATGCACAGAGCACATCTGGTTTCAGGTGCCAATGAAGGAATTTGTCACTGAAAGCCAAGGCCATGAGAAAAGATCTCTGTTGCTGCTATGTAACAAGTGCTTCATATAAATAGCTAAAAAGGCAGCTCTTTCCCCACAGAAGTCATGGTCCAAAATAGGATGTCCACCATGAATGTAAATTACAGGCAGTGTACAGGGAAAAGGGACAGCAGGTAATAACATTTGAGACCCTGAATGTGTCTTTTATTCATAATTTGTGAAGAAATTTGAATTAAAGCTATTTTTGCATGACTGGGGTAAGGGA